TCCCAGCCACCACTGGCCAGTGTCGCGCCGCACCAGGACCGTGTTCTCGAAGTTCACCTCGCGTGCACCCGAGAACCAGTTGCGAAAGTAGGATGATGTCGAATTCATGGGGAATCTAGCTAAGCAAAAACGATTTATATAATTACTGTTCTATAATTTAAAATATCGTCTTCAGTTTATAAAAATCGTTCGGAATGCAAACATAACGTTTATATGATCACGTAGAATACAAGAGAAAATTCAAATTCTAATAAGAGATTAGAAAATATCAAAGAACTTCCCACTTTTGTTGTAGGCTTAATTGCATTGCTCCGATATTTACTAGAATTTCAGCCGAAAGCATTTGAAAGTATCACGGTTGGAATAAATCATGGTCGGATTTTATGAAAATTGAGTAATTCATACGGACATGTTATGCGTAAGATATCTGTACAGGCTTGATCAGATGGACCAGTGATGGTAAGGTAAAGTTGTAAACAAAGGGACCGGCTTAGGCTGTGTTAGCTAACACGTATCCGCAGGCATTTAACAGCGACTAAAGACAATCCCAGAATAAATTTTTATTCGTTCGATGAAGTTTCTGCTTGCTGCTGCTGCTGCTGCCTGCAACTGGAAGTTACCGGTATGCCGTGCTCATTATACATGCGCCTCCGATGACCGGTGGCCGGTCGATCTAAGGAGTGGCTATCACTGTCAGCCAATAATAAACTGATTCTCAGCAGAGAGATTCTTACTCATTTCTCGGACACGATATCTGTTGTCGATCGCACGCTGTTTATATTACATGATCTAACTGCGCTTACGAGATGTTTCTTGAAGAAACTTTTACTCTTTACTTACTGTTAATGTTACCGCTTCCGGAATCCACTGGGGGCACTGGAGCCCCGGCTGCTGGGAGTCTGGTGCTCTCTTTGATCGGCTGCGTGCGGTGACCGTGGGTAAGCGAGAAGCCGGCCGACCGGGGGTCGGTGGAAGAGAGCGACCAGTGCTCTGCGCAACCGAAGTCCCCTTTATTGAGCAAGTGCGAAATAACAGCTGAAGAAAACAGCAGGGTATGGCGGGTGGTAAAAGAACAGAGATCACTCGCGCGCACACGATATCGAAGGAGCAAAGACAGACAGCGATGAGAACTGCAGAACCATGCAATGTGAGCACACAAACAGTGCCAAGTGCAAACAGCATGCCCGTGCATGACGGCGGCCGCTTTGATCTAAGCGCCACGGCGACGCGCAGCGCCACCAACAGACTCACGTAACTCGCAACACACGGCGAAAGGAGAGAGAGCGGGAGCGCATGTCCTCCAGCTAACATTAACATCAATTAACTCGTTAATTGTCATTTACTGGTCTCAAAAGGCTTTACTGTTTATTTACTTTTTAAGGTTAGGCTACTGTTTACTACCAGTTTACTTAATGTTTACTAAGTAAAGCAACACTGGCTTCTTCGCCTCGAGCGCACTTAAATCAGGTACGACTGATAATTGTACGCTGCAGCTCGTCTCTTATGGTTACTTGATGGAATTTTTTTGTGCACAATTATTTTAGCCTTATCGAGAACAGTCAGAACACTTACCCTAGATTACCAAAATTGTTGCGCCCTAATTTTGCATGATAATATTTTGTTGTTAAATTACTATTGCGCGATTCTGGAATTAAAACAAAGTTTGATCGATGCATTAAGGCGAAGCAGCATTTCATCGTTTTAAAAATTTTCACTGTTTTAAAACACCGGGCACCATTAGTTTAGCAAAGTGGAAATCACATTTTGCGTCTAAAAGTACGTGCGAGAAATGTTATACAAGTATATCGTTGGAGTATTACAACTGTAAACTGATAATGTTTTCAGAATTCTTAGAGTTTGCAATCGAGGATACTTGTATACCGGGTGACTGAACAAAATGGGCGTCTCGGTATTCGGTTTGTTGCTCACGAAACTAGAAACCGTGTCCCACGCATTTTGATTTTAAAAAAATCAGCACCCACCACCTCTCAAACATGCCAGTACCGGTGCCGGTAGAACGATAAATCGTAAGGTGACTTGAAAAGATTTTTAAAGTGTGGTTGCATAGAGCGGAAAATCAATAATTTAGTATGCTTTAACTTGAAACTATAAACTTGGATTGAAAAATTAAAATCTTTTCGATCATAATTATCGTCCAAACGGCTGACCTTTCATTACAATCCATTCAAAGTCGTTAGCAAGCGTGTGTAGCCGGCAGGAAGGTGGACGGGTGGATGGTGGATCCTCAATGAAGGTCATCCACCTTTCTGGAAAGGTCATCCACCTTTCTTGAAAGGTCATCCACCTTTCTCATCCACCATTCTGTTAAGGTCATCCACCTTTCTGGAAAGGTCATCCACCTTTCTAGAAAGGTCATCCACCTTTCTTATCCACCTTTCTGTCGGCTATATCCATTGATCTTACTACGAAGCCATTTTTCTCAATGTATTTCTTTGGGAGCAACAACTGGATGGATCAACGGTAGCCGCCATCAGATCGACACATCGGTGGGTATGTTAATTCGTTTTTGGCAGTTTTGTCCTCTAATAGCGTACAGTAATTACTTTTCGCTTATGTCGCTCGTTTTTCACTTATGATTTAAAATTAGAGGCGTATGGGAAAGCCACCGATAGTAACCGATTAGTCACAAGAAGACGTGAATTTTATTAATGCTAGCCATGAAAAAAATTACTTAATGGAAGACTTGGAAGTTAAGGACTTTTCTACCATCTGCAAGAGCATTTGCCGACAGAGCGACTATGCTCATATGCGCTGCATGCGTGATACTGTTAGCCTACTTGCTTGATCCAATAAACAGACGTACTGTAATAAATAAAGCAGGCTTTTTGCCATTCGGACTGGCAAATACGCTGGTGCGCATAGGCTAAGATCGAGGTATTCCCCTGCATAATTTTGAATTACATTTAAAGAATGGTGGACGGACTTTGAAGAAAGGTGGATGACCTTTGAAGAGAGGTGGATGACCTTTGAAAAAGGTGGATGGCCTTTAAAAAAAGGTGGATAAGCTTTGAAGGAAGTTGGATAATTTTCGGCAGAACACGGGATGTTGAATGCCACGAAACGCTGATGGAGAACTATAAGATGGGATGACTTTGTTTTGTAGGTAAAAGGAAAACCATTAATGTGGGAAGTTGGTGTAGCGGACTGAGCCGGACTCGCTTGCATAAATTAACATTGGCGCTTTGCGTTTGGCCATTCACCCGGTGACTTAGTTTACATAGTATGTTAGGATTCTATTTCAGAACTTCCTTGAGTCTTACTTGTCTTGTTTCCAGCGTTGGTATATTTGCGAATGCGCCGAATATGTTTCGAGATATTTTAGTGGGTAAATTAAGGAAATGAAAATTGAGAAAGTCCCATACGCCTCTAATTTTAAATCATCAGTGAAAAACGAGCGACATAAGCGAAAAGTTATTACTGTACGCTATTAGAGGACAAAACTGCCAAAAACGAATTAACATACCCACCGATCTGTCGATCTGATGGCGGCTACCATTGATCTATCCAGTTGTTGCTTTCAAAGAAATACATTGAGAAAAATGGCTTCGTAGTAAGATCAATGGATATAGCCGACAGAAAGGTGGATAAGAAAGGTGGATGACCTTTCTAGAAAGGTAGATGACCTTAACAGAATGGTGGTTGAGAAAGGTGGATGACCTTTCAAGAAAGGTGGATGACCTTTCCAGAAAGGTGGATGACATTCATTGAGGATCCACCATCCACCCGTCCACCTTCCTGCCGGCTACAAGCGTGTAAAGTGCGAACATGAACTGTCATGTAAATTTCTTATTAAGGTAACTAGTTTTATGGAAATCACCGTGACTAGCCCAGGGTAAATGAACGTGAGGTACAGTACATGTCCATCCGGAAGTGTACGAAGGATCAGAATGAACTACAATTCTTCGATTTATCATGTTTCGACGAAATATGGACATAACCTACACTAACAAATATTCATTCGAAATGAAATGAAGTGGTCGTGGACCATAAGAAACGCGGAGGCGTAAATAACTGAATGTTTGTTTGCGCAGCTGCATCCATATCAACGCGCTGTACAATGCCGCATCAGTTGTGGATAGGTAACAAATCCGGGCAATTCTCGGCCTGCAGTCCGACGCATCTATTTTAAGGGAAGCAGTTCTTTCTTCTCAAAGCATTCTAAAATCCATGTTTCTTTCTGATAACGTGTGAACGCCATATAGAACATAATGGACGTCGCGAACGAGGCTTCTTCGTTCATCAACGGATCTCCAAGATCACTAGAGTACCTGATCTTCTTGTCGACATTTTTCGAATTTGCTCGAAAAAACCAACAATTTGATCTACTTTTACCGGCAAGTTGATCTTACCATTACTTCATATTCACGTGGAACGCATGTACCGTAATTATCGAATTTGCAGCACTGGGCTTCGAATACCATAGAGCAGGTGCGCTTATTCTAAGAGGTGCATTTATTTGGCAAACAGTGCATTTACATGATTTGTTTAAATCTTTTTTTGTTGCTGCATCATTGATGGGACTTAAACATGTGGTCACATGTACGAAGAGGTTGTCACGCCTTCGCGAACGCTACTCAGCTCTATTATCGAACCGTACGTTTTAAAATTCAGTTTGCGGTCTAATAACCGAAGAAGGGGGCATCCAGTGCGGTGACTTCCAGTTTACCTTATATCGCTTCATTTATGACCCGAACATCGCCGGCGGAAGGTATATGCGCAGCCCGATAACGGACACCGGGCCGAGCAGCCGGCTCGTTACAGCCTACATGTGCAGTCGTAAACTCGTTTGCAGTCATCCGTTTACGAGTCAAGAGGGAAAACGGGTTCGTGCAGCACTGCATTCGTAGAAATTGCAGACTTGCATGTTGTCACTTTTCTTCGAATACGATCTACAGTTTTCCGTTACAACCACTTCAAAAAGAAAAATTGCCCACTTCTGCACATTTTAAGGGTACTGGGCATTAGTGTTAAGGTTCGGTGGAAAGATGCCGGCCGTAGAACTGCTGTTGACTTGCACGTACAAATACACGTAACCGGCTTTTAGTTACTGAGTGCAACATTAACATTTATCCATTTACGCGGCATATCTGTACGTACTCTCTTTTTCGTTGTGGGTTATGTCGTAATGTCGGTGTGTACTTACTAATAAGTAAACGAATTTTTTTCTTCATTTTGATGTCTGTTTAGCAAAAGAAAGTTGTCACATTTGCAATACATTTTTTCTTTAATAGGCACATTTTTTTTTAAAGTCAACCGGGTTTGGAGAAGCGAGAGTTAACGATTGCCGTCCAAATGGCAACGCAAACGAAGACTGTGATCGATGAGCAAACCGGCCGAAAGGCATTTCGCTTCACCCTGAAATGGACCATCGATAATTTCGCCTCGTATCGCAATGACTGCTTCACTCTCTTCGACAGTGGCATCACCATGGCTGAACTGGGATTTCGTGAGTCGATGCCGGGACGTTGGTGTATTGGTATGGTACCGTGTCATAAAATCGTGGAAACGTCCGGGCAAAAACGTTTTGTGGGGATCGCGCTTGGCTTCTTCGATGTTACGAGTTATAGCGTGTACAGCGGACCATATAAGCTGCATGCCGATTTCCACCTCCGGTACGATATCCTAAACATTTCCAACGGGTTTCCATCAATCTGCAAAAATACTGCGGACAACTTTTACGTTTGCTGTAACGAATATACGAACATTCAACTGTAAACGTTAATTTGGGACATTCATCCCTTTCTGTCGAAAAGCCACAATACAGTAGCTAACAAAGGTCGCAATCAAAGAGCCAACGAGTCATTGAGCACATGAGAAAATATTTTTTTACTGGCCCACAAAAAGAACATCGGCTTTTTGTGCATGGTTTTTGTGCCACATATGTTGCATTCAGTCTCATCTTTGCTTTGTTGCGGCTCCATGATATTTTAGCAGCGCCTAAAGGGAAGTTCGTTTAATTGTTTTTGTGATCTTCTGTCAGGTTACAAGACATATTTTGGTCAGACATAGTATAGGTTGGTCTGAAATCATTAGCTACAAAGCGACACTAAAAACCTTATCTGGTTAGGATCAACAAGTAATTGTAATGCATGTAAGAAACAAGAAATATTGCCGAAGTTGTAGTGCGAGTCAATTCAGGTGCCCCAGCAGAAAGATAAGTACTACGTCGTAGATATGTGCGACTTCGTACCAGTTAAACGTTTTACGGCACGTTTTTTTATTTTTGTCCGCTGTATCCTATGGTATCCTCTACGGATCCCTTAAATGCCATCGTAATTGTTTGTCTTAGTTTTACTTACTACCGTAGCCCACAATAACCTTTTGCGTGTCCCGCGTACAATCCACCAAGAAACTTAAGGTGCAGTTTTAATGTTTAACGTCTTCGAATACAAGGAGTACCAAGAAACCTAGAAACGATTAGAAAACTAAGAGGACAGATCAAGTGTGTGCATGAAGGATAATGTGGGATGCGCTAAATAATATTACCCGTAGCACATGCAGGATATCGCTGAGACACTTTCCCAAACTTGATACCTGCCACCAAGTTGAGGACAATACTAATTGCATCATCACGCGCATTTAATTATCGTTGCAGTTTAACTACTGGCAAATCCATGACTCTCGTCAAGGAGCATCAGACGACAGCCGTGTTTTCGAAACGAAAGAATGTCTGCCACAACAAAGGCTTCCTACGCCAAGATCGTCTGCTGGGTAACGGGCAGCGTCCTGGTCTCATCCGCGATAACTTGATCACGATACTAATGGACATCAAGATCCACGACCAGGCTTACGTAGACTGCACTCCCGAGCTGACTGTTACGACGCATTATCAGCGCCGCCAACGCTACTGGCAAGCCGAAAACTATCGGAATTCGGCGGATGTGGTCCTGCGCGCCAACGACGGTAACGTCTTCCCCGCGCATCGCTTCCTGCTGGCGGCGGATTCGCCGGTCTTTGCCGACATGTTTAAGTGCGATTCCCAGGGGACACAGAGCGGCGGCCCTGTCCTGGTCGATATGGATGGGGAGTGTGTGGAAGTCCTTTTGGCGTTTGTATATTCGGGTGATCTTACCGCGGTCACCGTAGATAACGCTGAGAAGATGCTGATCATGGCGGATACGTATCAGATTATGGATCTGCGCGGAGTGTGTGAAACTATCTTGGCAAATAATGTACAGGAGCGAAATGCTGAGCACGATCTGGAACTGGCACGCCAACGGCAACTTCCGATACTGCAGGATGCCGCTCGGAATGTCACTTGCCACGCACCGTCAGTGCAGCGAACGACAAAGCAGCCCCGCTGCCCCCGCAGTGGTCGGTTTCTCTCGCTTCGTTCTCACTCCTGAGTTCACCGTACTAATACGTGCTTGATGCATTTTAATATATCTACACTGCATTATATTTTATTATATCTATTTTAATATAATATATATTTTAATATATGTTTAATATCCACTACTCTTCAAAATTTTTGTAATTATATATGAGACGCGTGTCCTTTACTGAGACAGCATTTGCCTTACCATACTTTGATAGCTGTGCCCGAGATTATACACAGACACAAATTATTGCGCAGTCGAATGCCTCAACCACCTATCTGTATACACCTATCTGGGCGGTTGGCAGCCCGTAATGTTGAGAATAGTTTTCTCCGTAGACACGTATGATGACTTTAAAGGATCCAAGCACGTGAATGGTAGAAGAAAGTTGTACATCAGGTCTGTGAAACTTTGCAAGAGGCACAGTTTTTATTTTCTTCACAGTAAAGCAAAATATTCTTGCAGATCGACATTAAATTCAAAAGATTAAAAGGGGAGGATGATATCCATTTATGCGTCGGAAAAGCCGAAGGTGACCGCACGCAAGTATCGTATATACGATATTTCCCATGGGAAGTTTTTCGAAATCCCTCAAATCTAAGCCTCTAAAAAATTCTGCATAGTCCTGATGATCCGAATCGTTACAAAATTCCACACCTGACGCTGTTGAATAGGCACCAAAGCTGCAACAAAAAATCCCATTAGTCACCATAATATTAATTTACTACCCCATAAGTACAATTTAAAACATTATTCAATTCCCATCCAAAAGCTAGCAAGTAGGGCAGCGGATCAGAAAGTCAGCGCTAAAGCCGATGGCAAATCTGGCCGCAAGACACAACCGGTTTTTGAATATCCGTTCAGAAAACGTTTCAGGCGTTTCCTTGGTTTACGAAAGCTAACCCAAACAAACTTAAGCAACTTACAGCTTCAGCAGTTCGTGGAGTCCATACCATTCATTTGCAGGATAGGTTCCATGATACGGGTACTGTCTGACCCAGCCGGCGTGCACTGCCTTGATTCGATTCTTTACGAAAGGAGTAACCCCATAGCAGTTTCGCTCCAGCGCATGTTTCAACTGCATAATGACATCCGCATCGCTCTGGCTCTGACGAAACTGCAGCTTCGGTACCGAAATAATTAGGTTGGTCCACTCCTTCAGTTTAATACGCTTTCGCGCTCGATGTGGGAATACCACGCCTGTCCATGCCCCGCAGTTTATCTCTGCATTCAGTACTACCACACGGCGGCAGGCTTGTTTCAGTTGGAGCGGCCGAAAATCGATCTTTCGCTGTTCGCTTCTGGCGAGACCCAAAGTGTAGTCGGTGTATATTCCATACGGTGCTTTTACAATAGTTATCCGGCAATTCTTGACAATAATCAGAGGGAGAATAATCCTTGCTATAATGAGCCAATTGGCAACGAGCGAAATAACGGGATTATTGCATTCCGTCCGGTAATCCATGTTTATTAATGCTAACGTTTTTGTTTTAGCATTAACAAATCGATGGAGCAGGAGTGCGATATGGTAGCCTTCTGTCTCCGCGCGCCGTAGTATCTGTCGACTAAGTGTGGAGAAATCAATTGTAATGCAGGTGGAAAATGCCCGGTCACAAATTACAGCGTTCCATACACTGCACACTCTGTAGGAAGGGAACGCTTTTACAGAACTTAGTATTTTTTATGCAATTCCCAGCACATCTGGCGGATGCTTAGAGCAAAAAGAATATCTACGACTACAAGCAAACTGGAAGGGTCGTGATACACATGCTTCACCTTTTGTTGGACGTCGGCTTTTTTTCAAATGAAAAAGTTTGGTCACTGAATTACGCTTGCATATTTATATTTAACCCTACATATGGGTTCCATTTGTAAAAATTTCTTGACAAAAAAAAGTGAACATAAATGAAAACGTTTCATGGCGAAAACGTTGCACGTACATTCCAAAGCATAAAGATCACTACTTTTTTCAAATTAGAAATATACAATACATGCACTACGAATCACACTACGAATCACTACGAATCACTACGAAGTATACACTACGAATCACAGTAACTGGATCGGTCGCATTCCGTTTTCCACATAATAAAATTTAAACAAATTAGAACTTCCTATAACTGCAATTTCTTTTGGCAAGTTGAGGACAACGGAGCATTAAAAAATCAAATCGAAAAGCAAGCCAGTAACCGATAAGCAGGCTCGTACATTTTTTTAGAGCTTACCAACACTTAAGATTGCTTTTTGTTGTTCAAAACTCAAGAGTATTCAAATTTCGTTGGTGCGTTGTAATCCCGACCACGTTCTGAATCGAAACGTGCGACATACCGTTTTAATTTTCCTTGTGAAACAATATCCAAGTAACAGATGACTATGGACAGAATCTCCGGCAGTAGATTAAAAAGTGCAAGCTCCTTTTTCCCTGAAATGAAAGAAGACACCAAATTCCATTAGTATCAGACCGTTGTGAGCGATATCCCTGGTACCAAATGTCATATCGGCAACATACAGAAGGAAGCAGCACCAGCAGATTTTGGTTCATAACCTATATGGGCATTTTGTTCGCCTTCCGTGTGCTTTTCTATATTACAGTACTTCCTCTCCTTCAATTAAAGAGGTTTCAAATTGTCAAAAGATACTATGGAGCTCTGCGTACGGTGAACGAGCGCGTTGATCCTTACCGGCAGAAGGCGGAGGTAAAACACGGATGACCGGTTGCCGTTGACCGTAGCACAGGTTGAGCATATGCGTCTGGTTAAGCCTACGCGAAAGATTATACAAACAGTGCTCAATCCCGGCGGCAACTTTTCTCGTGGTGCTTGTCAACCAACAGCTGGACTGCAGGCATTCCCGAGTCTTACTAGACGGACAACAGCACTGAATACGCATAATCAGGAACATAAATTTCTTTGCCGTAACCCGAACGAATACGCGATCACGACCCTGATCCCGTGGGCGATTCCCGTGGCGAAATCCCACATCCAGTATCCGCTCAATATGCCGTTCTTGGATATCCCTGATTGAATGTGGCTGGTCGGAACCATACACCACTTTTTTTATAGGCAACCGGCAAATTCTGTCCGGTCGCCAATTACTGGGCAGTCTGTGAATAAGCTGCCAAGAATGCACGATACGAATGCTGGGTTTCTCGGACGTAGAAGAAGCATGCTCCAACGACACGCAACAGAGAAACTGGTCGTAAGAACTGCAACTGCACAGTAACTTTGCCGGGCCGAAGATGTACGGTCCGCCCGCTTCCCGACGGACGGCCACATGGACGTCACAGGGAAGTTCCGCTATAAGGCTCGGTTTATCGTGATGCCAGACGCGCTGCATCGGGACCCACTGCGGTGCGATGCGCTCGCTGTCGAAATCAATGAACACCTGGTCGGCATTGATGTCCTGGAGATATCCCAGCAGATATTCGTCAGCACGGGTTAAATTCACCAGAACGGTATTGCCCAAGTTGAACTGACCACGCCGGACGCCACAAGAAAAATACGAAGTCATGGCTGAATACCAATTTTTAAATCAATTTCTGCTCCGTTAACAATGGATTTTTTTGCTTACTGCATGCACCAAGGCGCATGTGTTAATATAGCAAATGGGAAAGCGGAGCCAGTTAAAACAGCATTAATGCGAAGATTTAGAATTTAATCTTATCTTAATGAAAAAAAGCAGTCGAACAGCAACGTTCACATACCAGCTCCACTTCTACAGAAAACGTTTATAGTCGGAAACCTGCATTCATAGAAAAATCGATCATATCAGCATCTCGGCTCCGTGCATCACGGAAAACACAATATGCACCGTACCCATAAAACTGCGGTATGACTAGAAGCCGATGGGGTGCAGAGAGTACATGAGCATGCCTTGCTCCGCTTTTACAATCGGAAAAGCTTGTGCTTGTCGATCGATGCAGTTCACACTGTATGAATTTCACGCAGCTGGATAGACCGGTTCAAACGCATATGCGGTTTCTAAAATGGTGGATGAATCATTCTAGTATTAAAATATGTTACCGGTATGTTATTAATAAAACTCCACAGACCTAAGGCGTGAGAACTGAGTTACTCGAGTTGGCGCACTTCTGCAGGCGGCATTGAAAAACAGAACACCAACACCAATGCAAACAGGCAGAGCGAATGTTCGGCTACCGCTTAAACTGCACCGACGCGACGACATGATTGGGACTCGTTAATTTGTTTAAGTATCCGCGTGTGCGCTTTCGTGTTTGTGAATGTTGTTTGCAAGGATTTTGGTGTAGTTCACAGAAGATCCACAACGTATTGCCATCCAAGAGAGTTCTTTTAATTTTAATTCCATTTTTTTTCTTTATATTGCATCAGTTCAACAAATCAACAATTGTCGACTGTCCGACACGATCGAAAAGCATGACGATGTTTTCAACAGCGCTCATAAATATTATGAACACTGATATCTGTAAGCAGTCCCTGATGACCTTTTTACAAAATCAGAAAGAGTTCCAGGCAACACGGTTTTAGCCGAGGACGTTAGCACCCAAACAGACATTGCAGACGGAAACCGGTGGGCAGATGTTGGCATTGACGGGCACCTGAACACCGGCTCCGTTAAGGGCGTTGACGGGGATCAGGCTGATCAGGGGCGAACCACCCTGGTTACCGCCGGTGATCACCTGGGTATTCTGGTTATTGTTGTTCTGACACTGGGCAAGACCTGTAAATACGTACCAATCAATATTAGTACGAGGGAACTCGATAGCATGGCGATGGCACCAGAAAATTTTAAATAAAAATAGTAAATTATTACGCTTTTGACCACATATTTCAAGTTCACGAGAGTAAGGACCAAAATAGTGCAATGCTAGAATCAAAGCGGAATTTATAAATGTGTCGGATTTCGCTCCAAGCCACTCACGTTTTTTCCCGTGAGATTTATTAGAACTTCCATGGGAAATAGTAAAATTATTAATAATTTTGATTTTCTACATTTTTACGAGACCCTTCTCCAATTTTTAAACGGTTTAGACTTTTTCTGTTGCTAACTTGGTTAGTTAAAACTACACGCTGCACGTTTGTCACAACACAAAATGTGTATCACAAAACACTATATTATTTTTAACGTATGGATGAAACTTACCGCACTGAGCTTGCTGGGCAGCGGTGCAGCTGGCGCTGCCACCGGTCAGTTGTCGGCGTTCACGGATGACGTTTGCGCTGACACAGGCTACCAAGAGAAGGGTCACCAGGATGCACTTCATGGTTGCGACGAAAGGGAGGAGAGATTGATCGTGCAGCTTTGCGGAAGATACGCGTTTAGAAACTGTAAGGCTCGTTTGATAAGTATTAATGTCGGTGGGTCTCCTTATATATATTTCACGAACAGTTCCATTATTTGTCTGCTGTTTCGTAAGTGTGTCAAGCGGGGATCTACCCAAACAAGGTGTTTACGGCTACCAACGACAAAAGCATACCATATAAAGCGTGAGTTAGCGGAGCTGTTGTTGCGTTCGGCGCGGAAATTCGGTGGAATTGTTATGTGCTTGTGCCAGTGTGGTGGCCTGCGGGCAGACTTTGTTGAGTGTTGACCACGAGAATGCGTGTCGTGATTCACCACTTGTGTATCGCTTACCAAAAACAGAAGCACGTTTCATACATGTGCATTGTGCATCGATAATAAATAATTATGCAGCGGAGTTATGCGATAAATTTTTGGTGAGTATTGTGTAATAATTATACTATGAAGTCTTTAAATATAAATTATAATTATTATAATTTATATTAGAAACTTCGTTACAGGAATGCAAAAAATTACTTTAGCGTCTTGCCTGATCCAGCGTTTAATTAGAACAAGTAGCATTAACATGCAAATGCAGCGCGATATTAAATTAATACCGGGCAGCGTTAATGTTAAATTAATATGACATTAATTACTATTAAGTTATTACCATCAGTTTTGTTATGTATGGATAATCTTCGGCCTTCAAAGTTACAGAGAGCAGAACAAGTGGGTCCAGGGAGTTATAAAAGTTTTTTCTTGCCGAACGTGGCTACAAGTACTGTACACCACTATCAAGATTATAATAGTCTACCTACAGAGTAGTATAAATTTAATGCTTCTTTTCAAAAGGGAACCGAACCGGCACATAGTACAAAATTCATAATCCCGCACGAAAAATTTCGATTTTGCGTGCTACATAATCTTTTTTGCCTCCATCGTAACATTGTGCAAGCGAATGATTTGTTAAGTTGGCCGTGAAACTGTTTTTTTGCGCGCGGTTAGGGAGTTATAGCTGAAAGGATGTTTTTAGAAAGTTTATGTATTAAACTGTACCAAAAATCGCACTGTGTACGGTACTGGTCGCCTTCAAACCCTATCGCGCAATAATAATTATGATGATTTCTCTTACACCGAACCACCGCTCTATCAGTCTTCTTCAATTTAAAATGCAATTCAAACATTTTAAAATTAATTTTAAATTCTGAAGAAAACTGCAACTTTAGTTCCGTGTACGGCATTGCTGGCTATTCAGCCAAAATTTATCATCCGTTTCGATGACGTATTCCTCAAAAATTAGCGTTGTAGTAATTTAAGCGACGATTACGACGAAAACAGAAAAATATCAAACTCTATGTATCAAAAACTGCTTTGCTTTGAATCGGTCGGCAGAAGAATTCATCAATTTAGCGCCGAAATAAGCGAACAAAATAATTTTAGTACATAGATATCACTGGTCACTGAGTTTAAGTCGATGGTTGTGTTCCTGTCAGAATAAGTCTTCGTAGCACGCATTCAGGACAGCGTAAGTCACATTAGTCAACAAACCAATGTTAAGTTCTCGGAGATCCAACGCGTCCCACCGTTGAACGTTGTCATTCAGGCGAAGGCAGTTAAACCTATTATGAAATCCAAATACAATTATAAATACTGAATAAAAAAATACCAATATTATTTCAAGACAAATTTACATGATAACCCTATTTAAAATACAATTTAAAAACAATTTAAGAATAAACTTAAATTTAAGTATAATTTAAGTACAATTCAAAAACAATTTGAATGACTGTTGAGCCATTCTTCCAGAAGTGTCCCTTACAGTTTCAGGAAAATTCGAATACGGGCCCACTGTTCCGGATAATTCAACCTGTGGACCCAGCGCGCATGAATGGCTGCGACCTTTCTGTTAACACGCGGACTGACGATCGGACAGCGATCGTTGGCCGCTGCCAGCAGCATACGACATTGTTCCGCGGGCGTTTCCGTGGATTTGAACTGCAGAAACGGAATGCATATTCTGAAGTCATCTGGAGGAAACTCCCGCCAGAACGCTCGCTCAAATTCCGGCAGATTTGTTTCGTCTCCTGTGAGGAGCGTTAGCTCCGCTGATCCAACGAGTGCTGACGATGCGTCAAAATTAATCAGCATCAGTTGATCGCAAACGCTCATCAACTGCGACAGCGAGGCACATTCGAAACGGTTCGCGTGGGAACAGTGTTTGATGGCCAGGAAGGAATGCAAAGGGCTCGTTTCGCTATATCGACAGTTTTTCACAATGAGGCGGGGCAAACGAATTTTCTTGGCTTGTGCAAATGTATTAATCGCCGACATAATCTCTTTCAGGACAAGCGCCGACTGGCGGCGACTTTTCTGATTATCCGTAAGCGCTAGGGTATGGGTTTGCTTTGAGAGGATGCGCTGTAGCAAGTTGACCAGTTTATACATGAGACAGTCATGGTACTGAACCAACAAGTCGCTGTTCTGTGGTTGGTTGCCGCATGCCGCGCTCAGATCGATGAGTATGTGCCGGTTGTTTACGTAATGGCGATACAGTATTCTCCACAGCGCACACACTCTGACAATGACCAATGCAAAGATCAGAAAACAAACTCCCGCGAAAGGTCATAATCCTACTAAGTAAACGACTGACGAAACACTGCAACTTGCAACGAAAACAGCTTAGATAGCAAAAATAGTAACAGCTTATATTCAATTGCTTTACTATGGAATCGCGATCTGTAACAAAATGGGTTACCAAGTGACGAACAGCTTAGCCAACCAGCTATAGTGCCGCATATTGTTCTTACTGCGGCAAAATATTCTTAGCCAATAATCTACTAGACTGCAAAGCTTGCCGATAGGTCAAACTTGCTGAAATTTACCTGCTTGCTCGAAACTGGGAATCTAAATCGAGACAGCACAGAATACAACCGATGACTGGATGCGAAAGCGCCCTAATCGAAAACTCTTCCATATCTGCAGCATAATAATGATTTTTATTGCTTCTTTCAGTAAGCTATGGTACCAGTGATTTATTACAGAACGAACAGTCCATTATGACTATGAACTCAGCTTTACGCTTACCAAACTGGTTTCTATCGCACGGAGTTGTGACCATGCTAACAAGCGGTTCCGTCATCCTGTTTCCGAAATAATATTCGCAAGCTTTCTTCAGGGCGTCTTCAGTCCAGAACATACTCCGTCCCTCTTCGTCCACGTTCATTTCAGCGCAAATGAAAGTTACCGTATCGGATCCCAGCCGGGCGAACACTCGAAAGCCGAGTTCCATTACATAGCCCTCACCGCTCAGCGCGTGCAGTCCCGTGCAATAAAAAGTCACTTCATCCTCTGAAATGAAATACTCAAACTGACACTCCGATTCGCACTCTCCATCACACCATTCCCACGACAGGTGGCAGGTGCGAGCCAGAAACGGCACGATAAAATCCATCTCGGTCAACAAATTCGCTGCGGGAAAGTCGATAACATATTTCTTGTACAGGAACCCCGTGGTCCGCCCAAAGAAACTTTCACCATCGTCAGGCTGCGGCAACTCATCAGTCATATGATTCCGCATCACGATATGGCTGGCCTTAGACGTTGAATTTACAGTATTTCCCCAGTCTTTACAGTGTAGAATTCATCGTTTCCATCCTCAACAACGGTGGCCTCACGAAAAACCATTGGACCACCATCGGCCTCGCGCAGTGCTACGTGAACCAACTCGTCTTCTCGCGTTCCGTCATGCGGTCGGTACAGGAAATGATGCGGCCACAAGCGGCTGGAATGGATCCACTGAGCGTTGACTGTGCTTGCGTCGAAATCAATGAAGAAGTAATCGCCGTCAATATCTTGAACGTATCCCAACCACTGACCGTTGTAGCGCTGCACCAGCACAGTATTCCCGTAGTTCAGCAAGCGGGTATTAGAGAAAAGCTGCCGAAAATACAGCGATGTCGCGTTCATAGTGTCAGTAGAGAATAGATTCAAACGCTAGGAATAAACCAAACGAAGGAGATTAGCTTGTTCTGTCGTTGTAATATGTTATAGAACTTATAAGCTGGGGTTTGTCATGATGCCACAAGCGCTGCAAGGAAAGCGGAGAAACATTGCGGGACTTTGTGCTCGCATTCAATACCAACAAATACCGAGCCGGAATTGATGTCCTGGAAATATCCCAGTAGATATTCATTATCACCGTTAAATTTACCATGACGAAATTGCCAAGGTTAAACAGTTTTCTTAATGGATTTCCTGTACATAGAAATCATAATACTAAAATTTAATGCAGAACGCATGTGCCAAATACAGATCATAGCAACTAAGGAAGCAAAACCAGATTGGAGAAGCAGTATTAACAAGGTTTACTCTTTTATGCCATGAAAAAAGCAGTAGAAGTACAATATTTAAATGCCAGCTCGCGTTCCTGCAGAAATTGTTTTTAGTCGGAAGCCTGCGTTCACATCAAATTATATTAATATCTCGGCTCTATGACAAGAAACACGGCTTCCATCGTATAAAACAACTCATCCAACTGCGTGTGAGGCGATGGCTCCCTTGCGTCCACCTTAGTGACGCTACTGGAGTTGGGGGAGTGCTTCGTTGCACTACGCACTGGGGATTCCCCATGGAATTGCCGTCTGTGGCGTGGCTCTCTTCTGATTGGCTGACGGCTGCTGTTCACTGTGTTCACTATGCGCCGTGCAGTTTATATGTGAGAATTCTGGTAGACGTTAGCTCACCGAGCATTGAACGTCAGTGTGTTGGTTTTTCACGATAGAGAACGTTAATAAAGTGTACTACGTAGACTGGGTATCGTGCGTTGTGCATTTCTTCCTTTAAACGTCACGTATTACACTCCACGGAGTCCTGTCAGTCTGGGCTACCGTCCTGGACTCTTTCACAGTCCACGGTGATATGCGTAATGACAAGATTTAGATGGGGCGCACACACGATAGTATGTCAGCATACCATGCTCCACGTGCGTAATTGGAAAAGCTGGTGCTCCGTAGCCGATCGATGCAGCTCACGCTGTTTGCATCACACACAGTATGTTTGGATAGATGATAGATCGGCACAAGGTACAAGCGCATGTGAGATTTCTAAGTGGTGGATTCTACAATATGATGCTACGGTCACATGATGAGCAGTGATTACGAACTATTAATACCGCACATCTACCTTCTTACGCAAATTGCATTAGCCCCCACGAAGGCGAGCGAACTGTGTTACACCAAATTGTGCGCAATTTCGCTGGTTGCATATCCTATTGTAATCCTTTACATCGTACATTTGTAATACTGTAATTAAGAAAAAGAAGATGCAGTACACAAAATTCATGTGTCTTCTTCTCAAGGCGACACAGAAGGTAAAGCTTTGATATCTATATATCGTTCGGCAGCGCAGAGTTCGTATATTCGAAAAGAGCAAACAAATGTGTGCGAAGAATACGTTCTGTTCGTTTATCACATTTCCCGACGGAAGTACCAGCGCCGGCCGAAGGTTAGAAAGATATCACTCAGCGGCATTACTAAGTTCTATTCCAGGATGAGAATTAAAATAAGATGTCATCTGGCCGAATAATTTTGACGGCGTGCCAGAATTTTTGGGAAAAATGAGACATCCCGTGACGCTGCTTCCCAAGATGATGACAGAGAATGCACAGCGGATTGAGTTTTCGACATGTATTGGCGGGACTGGACTGTCATTCAAAGTGACCTACAACGTTTGTGGAGGAACTTGAACAACTGTTAGCTGGAAGAAGCACGGTAAAAAGCAGCCAGTAACAGTTTGCAAAAGCCTGGCAGGTTGTTCAACCAGAAAGTTGGGTAATTAGTTGATTGATAACATCTTGAAAAGTTCACTAGGACTTTGGTTAGACACTCGAGCTCGATGTTCTGTGAGACGGATGTTATTGGACTGGTACTTCGTACGATTTGCAAACTACTGTGCAGTAAGCGTTAAAAAAAAGAAAACTGTGTTATCGCTTGACAAGAGAAAGAAAATAAATCTTCCAATTGCGAGATAAGGTATTTAAATGTGAGGAAGTTGGTAGCATAGTTGCATATTAATGGCAAAAAAGATTGATATAATGATAAATTGATAATTATAAGTAGTAGTACAAAATTTTGAAGTTGCAGTGGTACGCTAAGCAGAAGAATGACGAAACAGCGATCTCAACCGATTAGCACGTTTTTTCTCTTTCGCTTGCTGCAGTGATGATGCGTGGCCAGCGGCTTTTCCAGCTGCATGCTGCAGTACAGGAAGTTGCCGTTGACTAGCCAATTCCAGAAAGTGGTCGGCATTCTGCGCCAGGACATTACTCGCCAAGATGTTTTCACATACTCCGCGCAGATCCATAATCTCATATTTATCCGCCATGATCAGGATCTTCTCAGCGTTATCCACGGTGACCTTGGAAACATCGCACGCGTAGACGTACGCCAGCAGGACTTCGACACACTCCCTATCCATATCGGCCATTTCACAGCCGCAATTCTGCTTCTCTTGGAAATCGTGTGTAAACATGGCGGCAAAGACCGGCGAATGCGCCGCCAGCAGAAAGCGATGCGTCCGGAAGACGGTACCGTCGTTGGCGCGCAGGACAAAATCCGCCAGATCCCGATGCTGTTCGGACTGCCAGCATTCGCGCTGGCGCTGCAGGAAGGCCTTGGTGCACAGCGAAGTAACCGCCAGCTCTGGAATGCGGATGACGTGGGGCTGGTCATGCATCTTAATGTCCATTACGACCGTGATCAAGTTGTCGCGGATGAGACCGGCGCGCCAACGTGTGCCCAGCAGGCGATCTTGTCGTATGAAGCAATCGTTACGCCAGACATTCTGCCCTCTCAAGAATACGGCTGCGTCATGCTGCTCGTGGAGTAGTGTCGAGCCTTCGCCGGTAGTTAAACTACAATGATAATTAATTAGGTAACTGCCTATCCTGTTGTGGTAAGTATTGTCGTAAACTGTTACGCAGCTGACCGACTTGTGAACCCGAATTAACGCGCTCCATTTTAAGACGATTTTCGTTTCGGTTACTGTTTTAATTATTACGTGGTCATTGCGGTATTGGTTGTTTTGCTTAATAACTTGAGATCAGCAGATACTATATGCTGTAGCAGCAAGCTGTCTAGAAGTCCGAAAAATTTACTACCAGTTAACTTGAAATAAACAGATTTCTGCGAAAGCATACTTCCTGTTAAAATGCAGACGAAGCATTCTTTGTTTTGCTGTACAATGTATTTTACGCATGTGAGAGTAAGTGGATTATATGGGACAAAAACCGGTTCTTTGAGTAACAAAAGGAAAAAACTGGCTTTGTCGTGTAACGTTTAAGTTAACGGTTCAAAAGAAAAAAGACTGTCTAAACTGTTATTGGGCCAAAGCTAATTATCTTGTCAAATTTATTTTTTATTATTTTTCCTCGAACGACTTGTTGCACGTTCGGTTACACTATGCAGTGCTAGGAAAGTGGTTGTATGTCTGTTGTCTAATGTACGATATCTGAATGAACAGCAGCAGTTCATTTCCAGGTTGATGGCAAATTCAACTAGGAAACACATACTTTTTAACGTTCCACTACTGCTAAAAGAATCTCACCGGACGTGGAATTCGGCGTGCAGTTGACGTGGGCCGTTGTATGCAACTTCACCCGTACTGTCGACGAAACCCAGCGCGATTCCCAGGAAACGACTTTCCGCTGGCCACACCCAGTCCGCAACTGTATGGCAAGGTTTTATGCCAATACACCAACGTCCCTGCATGGGCTCATCAAACCCCAGTTCGGCCATGGTGATGCCGCTGTTGTACCATGTGATGGCGTCGTTGCGGTACGAGGCGAAGTGGTCGAAGGTCCATTTCAGTGTGAAGTGCGCTATCTTCTGATCAGTTTGCTCGCTGATAACAATATGCCGTTGCGTGGTCATCTTGAAGGGAATTGTTGAACTGTCGTCTTTTCGAAATGTACTTCAAGTATTACACAGAAGTACACAAAATGTATTACAACTGTTCAGCGATTTTCTCCAACTTATTGTGCTTGGTAGGCTTCAAAAATCCCGAAAAACATCGCGAACTTTTTAGCATTTCATGAAAATACCCGAGCGAGAAAATGAGGAGGCATTTTACGCACACTCACATATATATTACATACTTAAGCTCAAGTGCGGTAGTTTTTAACTGCGAGTCAGCACTGATTCAAACGGCATCTTTATGATTTTATCAATATGTACTCCTAAATTTAGCAAATGTTCGCAACTTTTCTTTTTGAAGTGAGGGTAGGGTGTTAACGCGAAACGCGAAAGCGTATCCGAAGAAAAATGTCACAATATGCAAAGCACGATGGTTATTTCTATGAATGCAGTGCACGGGACCAGTTTTCCTGTTTGTTATTTCTACGGTAGATGGAACGCCAGGAATGCGTAATGCGACTGCATGGTTTATATGTTTCGGCGAGCCGGTGTCTACCAGTTCAGCGGTACTGTGGTTTCATTTCCGGTTAAAGCGATTGCCAATCTGAATCACTGTTTTAGCGATTCACCAAAGTCAGATCTTTCAAGTGTGACTCTGTTCTGGTTCCTAGTTGATCAGCACCAATAGGTTACAAACAAACAATAGTTCGGACAGCGATACGTGTGCTCTCACCGCTCTCGACCACGGCTGTGGCCCAGAAAAATATCCTGAGAAACTCTTACCTTATGCATGATTTCCTTAGAGCATATTTCATGGCAAAAAAAAACGTAACAAACGAAATTTCAGCGTTGAATCGTACTTCTGCTCCGGATTGCCGGCTATTTTGTCGGCCTTCTGGAAATGCTGTTTCTCCTCTCTCTATGCTCAGTATACTGTACATCAGTACTGTATTTACACGATATGTCAAAGGAACCGAAGCTAGTGCGGGCGGTCCTGGGGATTTCTCTGTCCCTTAATATCGTGTAAATACAGTATATGGTTCAAGTCGTTGAGTTTAATTGCTTGGTGTCCGCAACTAATTTCAGTGACTGCCATAAGCAAGCATCTATCTACACAGCGGCTTTTTTGGGTAAACAAACACTGGCCTGCCTCCACTGATTAACTTCATCAGATTAACGAACGGTGATTCCATATTTGCGTAAAGGTGTGCCGGTATATTCCGTTTAATATTGCACTTGAACAATCTTACTCAATAAAATACCGATTGGAAAACTTAAAAACCGCTCGAAAAGATATAAAAAATAAAAGTTAGCAACAAGTGCTTGTACTGTATTCATGTGCTTGTATGCTGTATCAGTTGTTAAAAAATATTTTTCACCGGCACACCCATTTTCGAACAAGTAGGTGGGTGCAGATTCCGGTGCTGTTGTCGTATGTCGTCAATGCATTATGAGTCCATAGCTTCAAGTCTGAAAATAAACAAAGCACTTCACTACTTGCAGTGTAGAGGCTGCATAAAATCCAGTCGAATAAAACATATGCATCCTGCAAATCAGTTTAAACACATGCAGTGAAACCTGTCTTATAAGTACATACACCGGTAAATACATACACCTGACCGGCGCGTCCCATAGACTGTAATATAGCTCTGTGTAATACATACACCTGGATAATACATACGGTTCTGCTTTAACCGAAGGTGTATTTAGTAACCAGGTTTCACTGTATACCCAAAAGTTATTTCTCAGTCAATCACAAGAGGGAACATCTTCTGTCGGACCTATTGACTATGCAGCACATTCTCACGACATGTTGACATGTATAGGGCAATACAATAATGGAAAAAATTAAAAATGTTCGTGATCTAATAAAGGAAAATAGCCAGGTACATAGTGTCAAAAATGGGGTACATACACTATACTTTCGCTTTCGCCGTTTCGCGCACCACTTTTTTTGTAATCCCTTACGTCATTCTAAAGCTAAATGATTTGTATATCAAGATTCAGATCTATATTGCCACGAATGGGATACACCAGAGCCGGTAAACCAGAAAAGACTGACCCATACCAGTATTATATTCTGAAAGCCCGTAGTCGAAAACCCGGCCAGATAGTATTCATTTCTTTTTAAAACTCTCCCGCTTCGAACGCCAAAGCGGAAGAGTTTTGACTACCTTCCCCAAATGCAACTAAATTATTATATAATAATAATTATCATCGTGGTATTTTTAACCAGGCAATGTTGCCACGTAAACCAACTAAAATATAGTTAAAAAATGAAAGTCTGCTCTACTGATTAAATTATGTATCAAATGGATTTAATTACCAGACCATTATTACGGCAATAACAACTACGTATGTAACGTTGTCATCAAGGAGAATTTCTGCACGAGTGCCGGCCCAACAGCTATCGCTACACTATCACTAGTCACGACCATGATTGTCTGTTCAATCAGTGACCGAACTACCGCCACTGTTCGGTGCACCCATGGTGACACACCTATAAGTTCGGCGAGTGACCGAAATACCTCTAAAGTCTAGTTGACATAGCCCGCTATGCCAGTAAGTGACCACTATAGTTCGGTAGGTGTGCGGGTGACCGAGCGGTCACTACTGTCCCGTGCAAAGAACTCGTGAAGCGAGCGATTAACTGAGCTGTCACTACTGTCCAGTGCACAGAGCTCGTTAAAGAACCGGTGACCGAGCCACCACTACTGTCCGGTGCAAAGAGATCGTTAGGTGAACGGGTGCCCGAGCGGTCACTACTATCCAGTGTGCAAAGCCCATTAGGGAACGAGTAAACGAGCTGTCACTACCGCCCAGTGCACAAAATCCATTAGAGAACGAGTGAACGAACTACCACTACTGTCCGGGGCAAAGGGCGGTTAACAAGACGGAACCACGGTTAACAAGACCCTTTGGTGAACGAGCGACCGAACTACCACGTCCACGGATGTCCGGTCACCAGAGCCCGCTAGGTTAGGGAGTACCGAATTGTCAGTGAGTGACTGAACTATGTCCAGTGCAAAGGTTCTGGGAGTTTGTAGATTAGTGCGTGGAAGACAGGGGTAAGTTCGTTTCGCGGATTCAAAATAAATTATTCGTAGATCTAAAAGCCAGAATGAATGCCTTCCAATACTCAAAACGATGAACCGAATTTTATACCAAATTTGCGTTTTGATGCTGTTTGGCGAAATAAGATTTTAAAAATAAACCTATGAAATTATTGAAATAGACCGGCAGTGAACCAAAAGAAACGCAGAGGCAAAGCAGAAGCTGCTTCCTGAAGCTACCGATACTGCCCAGAGCACAGAATTTGTCAACTGAACAAATGACCGAGCTGACACTACCGTCCAGTTCACAGAGCCCGTTAGGTGAGCGGGTGACCTAGCTGACACTACTGTGCAGTGCCCAAAACCCGTTAGGTCAAAATATACCGATAGGTACTATCCAGTGCACAGAGCCCGTTAGGTGAATGGGTGACCGAGCTACCACTAGAGTCCAGTTCACAGAGCCCGTTAGGTGAGCGGGTGCCGTGCTGACACTACTGTCCAGTGCACAGAACTCGTTACGTCAACAAGTGACCGAGCTACCGGTACTGTCCCGTGCACAGAGCCCGTGACTGACGGCCGGACTGTGTTTGTTGGCTGCTGCCAGCATCGCTCGACACTGTTCCGTGGCCGTTTCCGTGGAATTAAAGCGCAGGAGCGGAATCGTTATACCCAAGCTATCCGGAGCATCCGTGCGGTAGAACGGAATTTCGGAATCTGGGAGATCTAATTCGTCATAAGCGAGCAGTATTTGAGCTGCCGACCCGACGACGGCTGATGACGCGGCGAAATTGATCAACACCAGTTGATCGCACACGCTTAACAAGTCCGTCAGCGCAACGCATTCAAAGCGGCCATTGCGGGGACTGCGGTAGATCGTCAGGAAGGAGTTCGAGGGAAGCTCATCGCTATCTCCGCCGTTCTTCACAATGATGCGGGGTAAATGAATTTCTTTGGCTCGCGCGACTGTTATGACCGCTGACAGAATCTCTGAAAGGACCAGCGCAGGTTGACGGGGATCTTGTCGGTTTTCCGTGAACGCCAGCGTATGGGTGCGCTTCGAGAGCAAGCGCTGCAGCATGCTGACCAGTTTGTACGTGAGGACGTTTTCGTAATCTACCAGCAACTCGCAGTTCTGTGGACGGCTTTCGCATGCTGCGCCCAGATCAATCAGTATGTTCCGGTTGTCCACGTAATGATCGCGCAGCATTCTCCAGAGCGCACAAACTCTGGCAAAAAAAATGCAAGTGGTGAAAAATAATCGACAAATATGAGTCGTCCGGACAGAACAACGGACAACGATTAGCCGGGATACTGTTCGCTACGGGACAAGGTGTCGTGTGCCAGACAAAGTGGCCAGACGAAGTGCCCGGCTCAAAACAGTTAGAAAGCGCGCAACCGCTTACACCTCTCGTAAAGTTTGCTTTCGCTGCAAGTTACACGGGATAGCCTGCATTCCTGCAACGTACATGAAACCGCCCAATCGCCGCTCTGAAAGGTATAGCTAAACTCTTGTAAAATTAAGAGGCTTTTCACAATCAGCTCCGATTCGTGGCGAATGACGTAAGATCCCATTCACATTATTTTTTCTTCAACTTTTTGATAAACTCAGCACAGGATGTCAGGATTTTCGTGTAAAACGGGCGCTGGCTTACGGCTATTTATCATAAACAGCAGCTGTTCCGCACTTCTGAGCTGTGGTGAACTTAAAGGGAGGTGGGCTCATGGAGCCACGGCCAGGTACATTGCAAAATTCTTCACGGCAGAGGTCATCGAAAAAGCGATAGAATACCCCCCCCCCTTGGCTGATGTGTGGTTTCTGGTCCCGGCCCTGCGTCCAAAACCCAGCTACTTTTGCCATTGCTTCTTAGCTTTTTCTCTACCCTTCTGGAAGTTGATCAGGTGCACTACCTTCCTTAGTAGGCTCTCACGGATTATTACCCATAATTAAGTTTTGCAGGGACTCACCTGATCGCTTGAACCTGCGATTCCACGTCGAGATAGCGCAATACACAACCCAGGACTGGATGCGGAAGATCGTTGATAGACGATTTCTCCATATCTGCAGGGTATTATTCAGTTTCCATCTTAACTCGTACTACATACAACAGACATTGTTATCGC